GCATCGGGTTTTGCCTCCTTCATGTAGAAACTGTCAATCTTGCCACACACGCCACCCTGATTCACTGTTGAAAGCTAAGAAACAAAGTCAAAGTGGAGGAGAGGGTCACAGTTTCTTTTTGTCTCAGCTGCCTTCAAAGGGAAGCTAAGACCAAGCAAGGATAGCCAAGGGATGACAGACAGGCGCCCAGGAGCTGAGAATGCACTTGCTGGGATGGCTGCCTCCCTGGGGCAAAGACAGCCCCACCCAACCCCCTTCCTGGAGCTGTGTGCGTGCCCCAAACTGCATCTCCATCAGGCACTGTGGGCGCCTGCGGGCACCAGGAGCACCTGGTACAGAGCTAGAGTACAGGACCTTCCCACCTCTGTCAGCTCGAGGCATCTTTTTTGGAGAATGCTCCCTAACCCCAAGAGCAGTTCAGCTTTTGCCTGGCAACTAGAGGGGCTCCGGAAACTTCCATTAGAGCAGCAAACTTCTACAACTTGTGAAACATGGCAACCTTGACGTCCTCTCTGGGAACTTGCTCCTCCCTGTTATCACCTCCCCATTTTCTGAACCCCAACGGTTAAGTGAGGCTTAGAAAGAAGCCATGGCCATCGGAAGAGGAAAGCTGAGGCTTTGCTTTTGGATTTCAGAACCCTGGGGGATGGTGAAGGCCTGAAGAACGCTGACAGTTCCCTCACCTATGTGGCGTTGTCACTTACGTGCGTTTGTTCACACCCGTGCTCTCGCAGTCTTGTGTGGCATTTCATGAAGGAGCCATGATACCCATTTCCCAGCTGAGAAAACTGAAGCTCAGGGGCTGCACAGTCACAGAATACACCCCCAGCTCCTGGCCATGGCCAAATGGGAAACAGCCTGGGACAGCCCCATCTCTCATCCCCAGGAAAGTCTCCAGAGTCTGCACTCCAGCCAAGAGGAAAAAACTGAGTCCTCATGTGCACAGCCTGCACAGCGTGTCCCCCAGCCCCTGTGCCTATAGATCTGGTGCCTGCTTCCTGTGCAGCCATACACCACTGTCCTCCAAGCCTCTCTCCTTTGCCTCTGGCCTTGCCTTGTACCTGCTTGCCTTTTCCTAGGTTGTCTCTAGGAATCAAAATGGAAGGGCTTCAGGTGGCATTTCCTCAGCCTGCAAGCTGAAGAGCCAACTGGGATACATTGTGTGGCATTTGGTGAGAGACTCCGGTACACCCAGTGCCGAAGTCACTTTCGTGGGCTACTTAAAGGGCTGATGGTGGTCCCCCGGCAGAGGCAACTCCTGACTGAGGACAGGGAGAATGGAGCACCGCGGGCCCTGCCCTCTTCACCTTCTCTGAGCCGGACAAGCCAGGAGCCAGAGCAGCGGGCAGCCCCAGGGGATTTCCCTAGAGCCCCTCAGAGGGTCTTGCACGCTGGCGCTAGCACACAATAAAGCCCTCCTCCTCCCAACGCTGCTGCACCCCGACAGGAGTCCTGGAGATGTCTTGCTAGGACCCAGCCTTCTAGGCCAGCGAAAAGGAGCCCTCTGGTTCGAAGCTAGCCACACACCACGTCACGCTCGAACTCCGGGCCCCTGGAGCCTAAAGGTTGAACACGCTCGGCTCCATTTCCCCATTTGCACTTGTCTACTCGCCCTCAGTGTCTGCGCACCAGCCTCGTCCGCACCCGATTTCCTCTTCCCCCCGCCCCCCCCCCTGTGCCCCTCTGCTTAGCTGCCTGCCCCTGGCAGCTGGAGGAGAGGAGGCGAGTGGGCCAGGACCTGCAGCAGCTGCAAACGGCCTGCGCCTCCGAAACCTTCTCGCTGGGGCAGGAGGGAACCCACATCCGCTGCGGGAACCGAGGTGGCCCGACCGCCGCCGCCCTCCGCTTAGCCGGGTCGCTAGCGCTCACCAGGGGCTGCGCAACAAAGGGTGGCATCGGTGCGGCGCGGGCAGGGACCGCATTAGTTCAATATTAGCTTTTCATTCCAGTCTATTGTGCCCATCTGAGATAATATTGACTCTGAGGTGAGAGCCCGAAGACGACAGGGCTTGTCTAACTCTCCACGGCAGGGCGCTGCAAGGGAAGAGAATGAGACGCGGAGAGTTAAAGAGACGCCAAATAAAAGCTGCTTGCGCCTCAGTGCGCCCCAGAGCCAAGAACCCGGCGCTGGCCTGGGCGTGCGCCTGCACCTCAGCTTTAGGAATTGTAGGTGGTAGGAGAGGTTTCCGGGTCCTGGGGCCGCTGCAAGAAGCTGTATTGCTTAGTCCCGTTAAAACAAAACAAAATAAAACAAAACAAAAAACCTCGCGCTTAATTCACAGTCCCATCTTCCAAATGAGTTTTCTTTTCTAGGCAGCAGGAAAGAAACAATTCCCACGTTCTGCTTTCACTTGATAGTAAGACAGCTTCGGACCCGAGACCTTGTCCTTTTAAACAATGTCACCCTTTAGGGTAACATTTCTGTCAGAATGTTTCTCCGCTTTTCCCTGCCTGAGAAAGCAAAGGCTGCAGCAATTATCATTAAGTTACTTTACTTGCAAAAGCGAGGATAGTATCACATTTCTAACTGTGCATTTTACTGTTTTATATCGCGGGCTCTCAGCCGGTCTGCAGCTTTAAAGGGCCTCCTGAACCGCTAGGTCTTGCATATGAAGATCCGTTTCAATTTTCAAATTGCTTCTAAATGCCTCTGTGGAAAAATGGCATGTTGCATTGTTTTAGGTGACTGAGACAGAACCGGAGATTTCAGGGTTAGGGAGCGAAAGCCAAAACACAGGGCTTGCAGGGATGCCCGAAAGCATGCCCCTGGATCATGCCTGATGTTTGCATCCGACTCTCACTCGGAGAGTCCAACCCTGTTAGCGATAATGTCAACTCGGTGAGTCCAAGAAGGAACTCATCTTTTGGGATCTTTTCCTTCACCTCAGAGATGCCTGTCAGTTGGAGACAGGGCTGAACGGAACCAGGGCTGCGAGTGCAGCGTCGGCTTTGGGAGACCAAGGATCATGGGGTGTTTCTCTCCTTCCTTTGGGGCACCAGCTGGCATTCCAGGATTGTAACTTGGACCTTTTAAAAGAAAGGCATTCCATTTCTTATCTATAAAATGCATAATACAGTCCATTTGTATTACATGCTGTTGAAAATAAAATATATATTATATAGTTCATCATATAGTGTTTAATATGTAACATTTAGCTCATAGGAGCTATTATACTATTTTTTATTTATTTAACTTATTTTATTAAACATATGCTGTGTACAATCTCAGGATATATGTTTATCGTATGTGTATGTAAGTAGTCTTGTCCTTTCAAGTATATATTTTATCATTTCAATGCAATTTTATAAAGTCTTAATAAAAACCACTTTGTGGTTACACCTTTATAACAAATACTACAGGGTCCAATTTCAGTTCTAGAAAAAAGCAGAGCAAGGGTGACCCTGCGAGGAGGAAGAGCGGGTCCCTTCTGGAAAGCAGTGTCCCAAATGCCCTTTCCCTAGCAACAAGGAAAGGCTGTTCCTGACCCAGAAGCTGCCTCCTCGCTGGGCTCTTGTGAAAGTTTTGGTTTTCTGAGCCACCAGTTAGAAGTCTGGAAGGTCCCTAAACTGATGTCGTGACCTAGAAATTAATTTGGAGAGCAGAGAGCACAGCATGTGCTTATCTGAGGTGTCTGGGGGAGCTGCAGAGGCCTCTCGCCTGGGTTCTGGGCTTCAGACAACAAACCACCAGGCTCCTGGTGCTCATCCAGGGGAGGAACGCGCACTCCGGAGGCCCTCTAGGGCCCTAACCAGGAAAACCCAGTCCGGACTCCTGGATCAAATGGTCTCTACTAGGTCTGCTATCCATATGAATTAGGAGCTAAATCTGGCACGCAGGCAGTCCTGTGTTCTGCCGGGAGCAGGGGCCAGGTGAACAAGGAAAAAAAAAATCAGATTTCAGATATGCGAGACACCACCCCTTTAAAAGGCCAGAACCAAGCGAGGATTATAACGTAAAAAGGGAAAAGGAAGAGGGGGGAATGAAGAAATCAGTCAGGTTCAGCCAACTAAAGCATCCGAAGTGAAGAAAGTGAACCAACTTTTCCGTGTAACAGGACACTGCTAATTCAGATGCCTTGAAGTTGGGAAAGGAAATTGGGGTGGGGGGTAGCAAGGGGGAAGACCCCACTGAGGGGGGAGACTATCAAGGTATACCGTGTCCAGTTTCCCAAAAGCACCCCCTCCCATCCCTAGTGGTTCCCTTGTGAACATCTTTGTAGCCAGAAAACAGTAAAACCTGACTGACTGACTGACTGACTGACTGACTGACTGACTGACTCCTTCCCTCCCTCCCTCCCTCCCTCCCTCCCTGACCAGTCAGCTCTGCCCCCCCCCAACCCATTTCTAGCAAACCTCAGCATTCAAGGGAACCAGAGCCTGGCTCTGACCTGGTCAATGCAGGATATGCAGGAGCGCAGGCCGTGGCACTCCTGCTCTGTCCCTGAAAGTGCTCCCAGATATGAGACAGATGCGACAGAGGTAAAAAGATGGATGAAGCCTTCTTGTTTCTAAAAACAAGCTAAAGTGTCTGGGCCTAGCTTTGTGGGGAGAAATCTGTGCACGCACATGGGGCAAAGCCTTCCAGATGAGGGTGGACAACAGTGCCAGCCATGTCACTGCCAGCTGGGCTCGGCACGTGTGACCCATCTATAGCATCTTCTCTGCCCAGGTGATCCATCTTGTCCATGTCCACTGTGGTGGAAAACTTTATTCTAACGGTGAGGCAGCAGAGTTCCCTGTTTCTGCCCCTCGCTTTGTGCCCCCAGACTGCATGTAAAAGGCAGCTGCTCAGGTGTGCTGGGAAGAAGACAGGGCTTGCTTCATTTCTCAGCTGCTGCCAGCGCATCTCACATGAGCTATAATCCATTTGCATCGCAGATGGCTCCTGTCCCAGGTACGGTGCTAAGCACCTATTACAAGGATTTATCCCATCCAGTCCTCCTGGCAATCCATTGAAGTAATCCACTGAATCCGTTAGAGGCTATTTCCATTTTCCACAGGAGACATCTGAGATGTTAAGGAATTCACTCCGGGTCACACACACAGCTAAGAAACGTGAAAGCAGGATTCCAACTCAGGTGTGTAAGACTCTAGAGGCGTTTCCTTTCCCCCTCACCTCTGTCTGTCTGTCTGTCTGTCTGTCCGTCCATCTGTCCATCCCTACCTCCCGCCCTCCCTCCCCCCACAATGAGGAAATAAAGGCCCACAGGATGAAGACAGTTAACACTTTGCTTTTTTAATCTCCCACACACAAAAAGAAAGTAATGATCGTAGCATACACAGACCCTGGATCTCACATCCTCTTAGAAACAGTGATCCTAGATCCAGAAGAGCGAGCTAGCAGTCAGCAAATAGACAGCTCTGGCATTTACGAAGCACCTGCTCCCACCACCCTTCAGCCACCTCTCCCACCATCTCTAGGATGTAGATGCTGCTATTCCGATCCCATTTTAAAGCATTGGGAATGGGCTAGGCGAGTTTGCACAGTTGCCCACTGCCCAGCCTGTCCACACAGAGCCCTGGCACCACCCGGCCAGCCCATTTCAGGCCTCCTAGCTTTTTGATTACCACATATGGGACCACTTAGCCCATGGAGCTAGGTCTTGGGTTCTGTTGTGAAACTGCTGAGTTGTTTTCTCTTTTTCATGCTGTGTTCCTGCGAATATTATTTTAGGATTTTAAACTTCCTCTGCATGCATGCCCCTCTGGTCTTCATCCCTTCCCCGTGCATGTGCCCCTGCCTACCACGGGGCCATCAGGGAAACACATACACGCTCCTTATCTGTAGTCAGCCGGTATTCAGAAGCCACAGAACATAGCCTTTACCTGCAGCTGCTTATGTTCTCCTGGAACTCTATGCCTCACACATTCCACTAAAACTCAAATGTGTCATCCGGGGTTTAAAATCATATGTATATGTTTGTGTGCATTCTTTAGTGATATTCATATTTCTTAAAATCAGTTTAGTGTTTTCCCTTTGTTATAATCTCAAAAGAATAATCTATTAGTCAAATGGTTCCCTGTTCAAAGAGTTACTCAATAATCCAAACAGGAAATGGCTAGAGAGGTCTTGATCTTGAGGTCATACCCAGTCCTGTTACCATCCCTCCACCATCACCAAGAGCTTCCAAGCAAGATGTTCTGAGCCCTCAGAAGGCTCTGCACCCCTCGCGGGGCCACTCTGAACCCCACTCAACTACTCTTGCACATTTCTGGGTCTTTCCTTCCTGTAAAAACCTGCCCCTTCACTATTTAAAAATTAAATACATATATTTTTAATGTTATTCTAGAATGAGTAAAGAAGTCAGTAACAATCACCCAATATCCCTCTAACTCAAAAGGTACTATGAAGCATTTTGGAATGATAACCTTTAACATCTTGGTAAAGTAAAAAAATTAAGATTTTTATCTCTCTATATTTTTTTGTTATGGTTGTTCCAGGTAATAAAAGTAAAGAAAGGAACCGACTATAAAATTCTCCTTATACGAAGTTCATTCCAGGAAAAACTAATGTATGGATATGAAATTCGGGGTGGGGGGCTTGACCTGGAAAGGGTCTCAAAGGAACTTTCTGGAGGGCTAAAAATATTCTTAATTTTGATTTGAGTGGCAATAACACAGATGTATGCAGTCAGCAGAAATTGTTGATCTATGGACTTTTTATTTTACTGTATATTTTTAAACCTTCATAAAGAGTGAAAGAAGAGCTGGCCAGATAGCTCAGTGGACTAAAGCACCTGCTTAGGTAGAGTGCAACAGCCGGGTTCGATGCCAGCCCCACCCCCAGGGCACGCTGAGATGGTGATTGAGACTGGGCGTGGTGGCATGCACCTGTAATCCCAGCACTTGGGAGGCTGAAAACAGGGGAATCACTATGAGTCCAGTCTATGTAGTGAAAACCCATAGACCCTGTAGACCCTGTACCAAATACATTAAAAAAAAAAAAGAATGAAAGAATCTTGAACTAATATTGCAGCAAAACACCAAACAAGAAAAGCCAGTAAGAAGCAAAAGACTGGGCTAACAGCATAAGCTATTGAGCCTATCCAAGTCCACAATACCTAGGGTGTTGTGGGCTGTCCTAGAAAGGGTTGCTAGCTGGGCCCCTCCAGCCCAGCCCAGTTACATCCAATAGAGCAGTGGCATCTTAGGGTGCTGTGGACTCACCATTTGTCACACGTTCTCCTCCTCTGTTGTTCTCCTGGTGTATGCAGAGTGAGGGACTGCAGTGTGCTGGGCTGGGGTGGCAGGAGTGGGGGCAAGCATCCCTCCCCACCCAACCAGGGTCCGTGGAAGGAAGGCTGGAAACCTGAACTCTCACACAGATTCCTAAAGTTTTCCTCAGGTCACTATGTAGTATTCAGAATGCTGTTCCTCATAAAAACAATGTTATAAAGGCTACATTAAAAAATAAATACATAAAAATAAAGGACACCTAAGAGCCTGCCTAAAATACCTATTAAATGCTTACTCATAAAATATAAAATGTTAAGCTTGTAGGAACTTAAGTATATTGAGTTATAGTTATTGCATTCCATGAAAAATGGAAAATCACATCCACACACGCACACCACACATACGCGCGCGCGCACGCACACACACACACACACACACACACACACACCTGTTTCTTCAAGGCATTCTTAAAATTTGGGATTCAACACTGGAAAATCCCACAGTATCATCCTGCAGGCAGCTCACTCTCTGGGAGAGCAAGGCCATCCCATGCTAATGTAAGTGCAATAAAGTCTTATGGAAAATAAAATAAAATAAAATAAAGTCTTACAGGTGGGCATTGGGAAAGAGGCTGCCTTTCTTCCCCTGCTACAAGACCAAACAGTTTGATTCTTCCGCTGCTATGGGGGTGGGCTCATGATTTTTGCCTTCCCATTGTTTGAGGGACTAGAGGTGGGTAAGACTTGTAGTTCCAAAGGAGAAGGGAAAGAAGACTTATGAGACACATAAGCCTCACAGAAAGACTGCCAGAGCTAGGGTTGACTGAGCAGCAGGGAAGGCAAATCATAGCCCCAATATCAGGAAGAAAGAAAAGGCCACCTCCTCCCTCCAGCTGACTTTGACCAGTGGGGCTGGCTCAACATGGCTGGGTGCAGTCCAAAAGCAGGATGGGGCAGGAGGTTTGTACCTTCAGAAATTTGTAGGTATTTAAAATCAGATATTTGGGGGTCAGGGATATAGCTCAGCCCCATAAACACCTGCCTGGGAAGCACAAGGTCATGAGTTCAATCCCGGGTACTGAAAAAAAAAAATTAAAATCAGATATTTGTAGTATTCTGGGTCACTGATTCACTCTGCTCATATTCAGCATTCCATTTATGTATAAGGGCATTTGAAAGTGACCTGCAGTTTACAAGTGTAATCAGTCATGGTCCTTGCCTCAAAAACTAGTTTGGGAACTAGACAATGAACAGTTATTTAATGTAATGTGTTTAAACAAAATCCACAGGAAAAAACTGCTGCTCTTCTATTGAAAGGACTCAAGGCAAGCAGGAATTATCTGTTTCTTCACAAGAAACCCCCATAGGTGGAGGAGCACAAGCCTGCCAGAAGAGGTTTTAGGAAAAACGATTAGATGTTCCAGTAACTGGTGGGCAGTAAGACCCGGAGGTGGGAAAGGGATGGCTGGCCCTGGGAAAGCTGAAAGGGGACACGGGGAAAAGGACAATGGGGGAGCAACGAAGTTATGAGCACTTCTGCAGATCAGGTATTTAATTATCATGAACCCCTTCAGAAGGAAGGACACATATCTATGTTTTACAGGTTTAAAAGTGGAATTCATGCAGCGGCCGGGGTTCGTTCCTGGCATGCTATGCCGGCCCCGCCCCGGGGCACACTGAGATGTTGACTGAGACTGGGTGTGGTGGTGAGACCCTGTAATTCCAGCGCTTGGGAGGTTGAAAACAGGACAATCACCATGAGTCCGATCTACGTAGTGAGACCCTGTAGACCCTGTACCAGATAGAAAAGTAATAAAATTGGGATTCAGAGAGGTTAGGTGAGTTCTCTGAAGATGCACAAAGAATCACTGTTGCAAGCAGCTGTGAGGATGAAATGTGATCAGGGAGTCAAAATGCCTTTGTTAAATCAGACGAGCATCAGTTGCTAAAATGATTTGTGGCTATGTTTTCGTTTGCTGATCAGTTAGTCATTCAACAAGTCTTTCTTGTGCACACACTGGCGGAGGCCCAGTTGTGGACACTGTGGGTACAGAAGGGAAAAAATACAAAATTTCTTTTTCATAGAGCTAACATTTCTCCATAAGGCTGGCATAAGCTGACACAGCCAAAATAAAAGATTTGAGCAGCTAGAAAGAGAGAGAACAAGCTTATGGCTGAACAACTCTACATAGTCACTGTTTAGAATCCTGAAAAGTTGTTAACAACATAAATCTCCATTTCATGGCTACTGTTGAAAAAAAAATAGAATGTTTCTATGCTTTAGAAAATGGTGTACCTGTTTACAAAGACAGAAGCAGCTCTCTGTAGTACCATGGAAAGATCTCTAAGACTTATTAAGGGAGAAAAATAAGCAGGGTGTAGAACAATACATAATGTGATCCTGTTAATATTTAAAATAAACACTATTCCTTTGGGTGTCTGCATATTGACACGCTAGTACGTAGTTACACAGTTCACTTAAATATAAACTCAGAGAAAATTTCTGGAAAGATACACAGTTGGCTGACTACTGCATTACTGCAGGAAAGAAGAGAATGGGGGGGGATTTGGACTGGACTGGGTCCTTTCACAAGCAACCGTGTATAATTCTTGATTGTTTAATTGCTGGCAATGACAATGCATTCACACACTGCTTGTGTAATCAGACAAGGACATCCACGCATGCTAGCACAACTTAGTTGTAGCAATACGATCGCGGCTGACGATCGTTAGTCTTCTAATCTCCTTTAATGTTGTTTTAATATGTCTATAGAGTTATATAGACACAGAGATGGGAGGATGCCAGAACATAAAAGGGAGAATTAAAACATGGGATCCTGGCTTGGAAATCTTGCCTGTCCCCACCCCACCAGCAGTTTATAGTGAAACCTTTTTTTAAGAGC